TTCCCGTCGATAGTACCAAACCTACGGACAAGCCTTTAGACGACAAACACATTGAGTCTATGGATTTGAAATCTAGTGAAAAACAGTAGCTTTCAAATGGTTTATGTTTATGATTAATTAGCTTTATGATTAACCATGTAGTCGTGATTATGACCCTGACACTATAGTCAATAATGTAATCTGATGCACAAATTAACTTACATTTTTAATTCACTATAAGCAGAATTACGTGTATAATACAGTAGATAGTCTACAAAAGTACGGTATTACAAAAGTGTTAGACATACAATTTGACCCAAAATTGAATTTTGATAAAAACTTATTTTTCTAACATAAATTGTAAATATTTTATAAAATACTGTATATAATTAACCACGCTGTGTATTAGAGTGAAACTCCTGTATTAAAATAGAAATAAAATAATTTTATTAAAACTTTTAATTCAATTATTCCTAAACCCATTCTCTACGTTATATACATACCGTTTCATTGAGTACCCGTATATAAAAGTACCAAATTGTTTTCCAGAATATAAATAAATACTGCAACTATATTAGCAATTCAGTTGATTATGGATCAGACCAACAGTGATATCTACCACTCACTCGCGTTTAACCATAAAAAACCACATATTTTAAAGAATCACTTGATTTTAATAAATTATTTTACAAATAATACGAAAAATACAATCAATTGAATAATTCGTGTCCAAAACTCGTGGCAAAAAATAATGACAATATTTATGATAATCAATGATCTGATGAGTGGTCGGAACTGATGCCTCAAAAGCCATACTTAGCTCTCGACTGAGTCTTCGTCTGCCGATTGCGCGCCCACTCGTTCTTGAGCTCCACTTCCCTCTGTTTGGCCTGAAGTGCCAAATACGTGATCTGATGCTTGCGTTTGGCCGTCGAGGACGGTTCCACACCATTATAGGTGGTCTCCTCCTTCTCTTCGGTAATAGTCTTCAACCAGTCCTTCGAGTCCCGCAAGTGTTGGGACACATCGACCTCAACAATGTTGATGTCTTCGGGCGCCTCTTCGCCAAACTTCGAGGCAATCATTCGCTTGTATGACATGTCATTCAAAGAGCGCGCATTCGCTGTCGTCCCGGAAGACGATGGCAGTGGGTATGGATCCGATGGCTGAGCGGTTGCTGTCATTGGTGGCTGCGGTGGTAGTGTTGGCGGCGGTTTGGGTCCGAACTCCGCAGCATTTGGTTCATCGCTGGTGTTGTCGAAGAAGTAATTGACGCCCTCTTCGGCTTTGGGCGCGCTCTTCGCGGCCGAAGACGTGCTCGCATTCCTCCGGATCAGCGATTGCGGTAACAGTGACGCCGTCGTCACCTTCTGGTGTTTAGGCTTAGGCAACAGCGCCTTCAGACCGGTTCCAGTGGCCGACCCTTTGAAGCGTTTGGCTTTGCGCTCCTCTTCGTCGTCCGAGTCGTCTGCGTAATAGGTCTTCAGCGACGGAACCGATATCCTTATGGGACCGGAACTGCTCTTATCGATGACAATGTCGCTGAGCGACGAGCTCTGGAGTGGTTGCGCGCCAATGGCCGCCGTTTTGGGCGCCGGGAGTCTCGAGAACAGAGCGGTCGACGACTTCGGTTCAGACGATTCTTCCGGAGCCGTCGTCGCCGAAGACTTCACTGTCGAGTTCGTCGCAGATCTCGGCGTCTGATCCGCGGTCTCGTCGGAGCCGTCATCCGAGTCGTCGCCACTCGAGTCGTACGCTACTAATGGCATGTCTTCAGCGATGATCTTATGATGTAAACCACAATCTACTCGCGAATATCATCACCAGAAACGGGTCCCACAGAAACGAAACGTCTGTTTTGTGTTTATGTCTCCACAATAACGTCCACCAAATGGTGAGCACTGTTTACGTGGACGTCATTCATGGGTCACCTCTTGGGAAGCGATTGCCTAATAGAGTGTCAAACCATTGATGAGTTGTTCACTCATTCAGTCAATCAGTTGTTGTGTTGTCTGTCATTGAGATCTGTTTCGAGATATCAGTCGTTGTTTACAGTCATCGCCGGTGTCGTCGTCGTCGCTGTCATCCGGACCTAACCACTGGTGACCAAACCGGTCACACATATATCACATCCAGCGATGGGTTTATGCAAATGTCCGAAGAAGAAAGTGACGAATCAGTTCTGCTTTGAACACAAAGTCAATGTCTGCGAGTACTGCATGACATCCAGCCATCAGAAGGTCTGTTGATAGTCGCCGCCGCCATCAGCTGATCCGCGACTGTTGTCATAACATAATCATCTCTCTATGTATTCCTCTGCAGTGTATTGTCGCCCCATATCTCCAATGGCTCGAAGACAGCAATTATCAACCGGTGTGTGGTTTGTGTCGACAAGAATTGGACGACAAATCGCAACAAACCATTCGTCTGATCTGTTACCGTAAGTCTTCGGCTAAGACTATAGCCGCCACTCATTACCCGTTTGTCTAATGCCTGTGTCTTATACACCGCTCGCGCAGACATCTATCACGTGAGTTGTCTGAACCGATTGGCCAATGAGTTGCCGCCCAATACGGCGCCGGCGGGCTATACGTGTCCCTCGTGTCACAAACCCATATTCCCGGCCCAAGCCGTGGCCAACAG